GGCGCGGAGCGGCGGGGAAGCGGCGGGGCAGGACAGCACACACGTTCGCAAGGCGCGCAACAGTACAAATGCGTAGGCGACTCTTTCTCGGACTCGACACATCTAGAGACTACACTTTTTTTGTTTTGAGACTTCTCTTCTTCGTTTTGCTTTTCCTCGCAATGCAGTGGATGAGTGTTAAAAGTAGTACTCTGAAAATTATGATTATTGTCTTTGTTCTCCTCAAAAATAATACTATAACTTTTGGCGTTTCCTTGCGTTCTCCGCGAGAGGTCGGTGTGACAAGCCATTCTACAAGGCCTGAGGCGGACTCGGGGCGCGGGCTGCGGGGCGTCGCGACGGCGGCTCCGCGCGACGCCCTCCCCGTCCTTCGCTCTCTGGCGCTTAGCGGATTTGGGTTATTGTCGACAGTCCAATAAGAACACAAACAAATGGATCATAGAAGTACACTTTTCGTTCTAAAGCAAATCTATGTTTTTTATAAACTCATCTGGTTGCTTGTTTTAGAAGTGACAGTTCATTTTTCTTTATCGTTTTGTGCCTGAAACGTTACCAGTTATTAATATGAAACCAGGAGATTTCTGTGTATCGTTAGAACAGCAAGATCGGTAAATCCGCTTGTGCTTTAATCACAATTAGTTCGTTGACTTCGAACCAAACGTTTATTCAGTAGGAATTGAGAATATCTGTGTTGATAAAATGTTCGTTATTATAAAATTATTCATTATTAAAATCAGAGCTTCGTTTTGAATTTGCTTTAATCGTCACTAGTTCACGGAAGCACAACTGATTATCGTTCATCTGGTAAAAAATCAATTTATGTTTTGGTTACGATTTTCATTGAATTATAAACATAAAGCTTTCGGTTTGTAAAATAAGAGACGATTGTTAATATTTTCTTGCACAATGTTATATGTGCCAATGGAGATAAAACCCCATCCGCCTTTTCATTAGACGATAATTTTGTTTAGACTACTTTTACGAAGCATTACATTATTCGAGAGCGAAGGAAGAGGATGCTCCGGTATCTATGGCCTAACGAGGGGCATTTTATTTACAATTCGATATGCAAAATTTCACGTTATATGTAGATTATTGGTTATTAAAGCGCTTCAAAAATTTTAGAAGATAAATATATCGATCCTGTTCGCAGGCAAGTTAATCCCGAAATGGTTAATATACGTATATGACGATGAGAACGCTGTTCCATGCTACTGAGACGGCGCGCGAGCCGTCGGCTACTCTACGGGGTACATCGAGATGCTCCTACGACTAGCAGTCACGCACTGACGGCTCCAGAGACGCCGCCGCCGGTCGCTTATAAAATGACTTCTCAGCGCGGTCGCGCCGTAGGAAACGATCGCACCTCAGCGGGGCGACTGTCATTATACCAAAGTCAACTACGGAATTAAAGCTGAAGGATTTGTTTCGCGAGGGCCGGCGCCGATGAGCCGAACCGTCCCTCGCAGATTTGTCAGGCTTGCTCAGTCGGGCGGCTTCTTCTTCCTCTTCGTCTTCCTCTTCGTCGTCGTCTTCCTCGTGTCGAGGCTCCGCAGCCGAGTCCAAAGCTCCCGGAGGCAGCGGCGCCGCCGTCGTTGCCGCCACCGCCGCCCTCGCCGCCTTCACCGCCCTCACCGGCCCCACCGCTGTCGTGTGCGTGCACCCTACCTTACCACTCGCAGAGTTTTACAGTACGTCATTAAGGTCATTAATTGGACGTACTGTATCCTCGAACAACTTACGCTAGTCAGCTACCGTGTTTGAAACAGGCCGAACGAAAACACCATATCGTTGGGGATACTACTTTCGAGATCTTCTTCTAGTTCGATAAATCGTGGTGACTTAACAATATTTTTCTGTACTCATCAATAAAGCTGGACACGGTAAAGAATTTCAAAAAGCCTACTTAAGAAATTAAAAAAAACAAGGTTTATAAATTTGTTGTCTAATTTGTTGTGAATGATTATTAAATCATACAATGTAATTTTGCTGTCTTTAAACTTGTTTCTCTAGCAGTTTGTGAATATAGTCAAACAGCCGACCTGTATCGTGTCCATACATTTGCCAGGTCACTATCTTCTCTTTCCAAATCCTACTCCTGTGCACAACAAGAAGACATTGGTTCCCTACCCCTAAGTGACGTGTCAAATATCTGCCCGGTGGTTCACCTCCTCGATCGGAAGAAAACCTCCTCTTGCTATGTGACTTTAATAAATTTGTGAAGAAAAATTACAAATTTACTCTCTACAGCTAACCTGAATTTCCTTTCACGTGCACATCAGTGTCGGAATCTCCTTATACGCCTACATAGAGCTAAGTTAAAGGGTCTCCAGCTCTGTGATCTACAAAGTCAGCTGACGCCGTTTAGCCTTCTATTTCTTCTATTTCTAAAGTAAATTTGGACAAGAAACTCGTGCAAAGAAGAAACCTTCGCCCTTCGAGTGGAATAGATCGAAAAACTGCAGTGGTTCTCAAATCGAGTGCAATAGCTTATAACCTTTGAGTTCCGTAGACTATTATTGGAGATACGTGAAGGTTTCATAAATATACATTGTGGTGAACATTGCTTTCAGCCAGAAATAATTTTTCTCTTCCTGAAAATTATCTTTTTACTTGCAATTTAAAATGAAGAAATCTTGATATTTGTGAAAAGTCTAATTATTTTCTTTGAAAAATTTATCAATTTTTCTGAGCAGATTAATTGTTCTTTATAGGTACTTGTGGCTGGTACTCATAGTAATTATAGTAAATACATTACGTATTTCTTTAAATTTGTTCTTTTATTTTTCTGCCATACATTTGTATAATGTGCTTCGATATTAATTTTCTTAATTATTTAATTGTAATGAGTAAATGTAAGCTGAAACAATCCATGTATTTCACAAGTGCTTGAAGAGGCAATTTTTGAGAACCACTGATCTGCTGAATATTAAATGAGTCCGCGAGAATGAAATCACATTTAGGGTGAAGTGCACCCAGTCAAGTGATTGACCTACTCGCGGAGTTGATATTTCTAGAAGTAAACCCTAAATGAGAGTGTAGAGTATACCTTTTATTGTGCCCTACATTTCTGATACCAAGGATATGTCTTGCAAGAAGACCTGTCTAGTTGGAATTGTTAGATATTGAATTGTGAACTTTACCTTGCCAAACGATTCTGTCTATTGCCAGTTACTACCACAGCCGAATTCTTAATAATTAGATTTGCAACAAGAGACATACGAAATTTTCTGCCACTTATACGAAACTACGCTTTGTAGTATGCTTTATCAAAGGTAATATACATTCTTATAAAATGTTTCCTCTTATTTGACGCTATTGAAGTAATTTATAATACGAGATGTTTTAGAGATATATTAAAGAATCTTGAAAAAGCTTCTAAAATAGTGGTCTCATACCCAAATACACTTTTTTTCAGTCGGATTCTAGATAAATGAGGGATATAATTCTTATACTTTGCACACCTGCACTATACAATTCTCATTTGGATTTCCCATTGCCTTCTATTCTCTGCGAGTAGTGATGCTTTCAGATCAGCTTTGTTTGTGTCATATACACTAAATGCGATTTTAGAATTATTATTGTGGAGCAACTCTTAAGGGCAAATATACCTCAGACTCCCCCTTAAGACACACTCCGACACGATACAAAGCGTCTGCCCAACAGATCGGCCGCGTTCACAATGTCCAATTTGCTTGCGAAACCCAGCATCTTCAGAGCAGCGCGGCCTCTCTGTGGCACTACGCGGCACGGCACGGAGAGCGGGGTCGGCGAGCACGCCTGTTCGGGCACGAGCGCTTCAGTGTCCGAGCGTGAGTGCGTGCGCCGGCAACGAGGGCGTGGGCGTGGGCGAGGGCAAGGGCGCGGGCGGCGGCGGCGCGGTGGGCGGGCGCGCGGGCGGCGCGGGCGCCGGCCTCAGGTGTAGGAGCGCAGCTTACGGCGTCGCAGCTCGGTCGGCGTGTCGAAGCAGCGGCGAGGCCTCTGCGTCGGCGTGTGGGCGGTGGGCTGCCCGAACCGCGGCGGCGACAGCTGCTCGAGGAGCAGCGGCTGCATCGCCTCGTCAGTACTCCTCTTCCTCTTCGTAGTCGTCATCTTCGTCCTCATTCTCTCTGGGCAAGACACAGCGCACATCTTAGCTACTCGCCCCTTACCTCGCCGCCCTCCAAAGCTGCCGTGGCTGCTTAGGAAATGCCTTCTTGGAACTTTTATTCAATGCTAATCTAATTGATTGAAAGGGTTGAAACTACACAGCGTCCTGCAGAGGGGTAACTAATGAAGCGTTGTGTGTAAGGACATTCTCAATATTTTTCTTGCTTAACTCTCATTTTATCCCACTAAACCTTCTTTAAATTCACTAGTTTTTATTTCGTGATATTTACTGATCCTCAAAACTCGACAGACTTTGGAAAAGAGCGAAAAGTGTTTTTGAATGTGTTTAGTGGTTTTCGCTTTGAAAGAAAATCAACCGGGAAGTAGTTTTTGAAGTCTTAAGTTATATATGTAAAGCATTTCTACATTTTAAACGAGGTTTCAAGAAATAATCTCAAATATATTTCGAAATTGGCATACCTAATCAGCCACATCAACTTTCAAAGACGTGGTTTCATTTAATCATTGACTTTTTTTAGAGCATATTATGCACATAATGTATTTTTTATTAGTTACTGGATGTATTTTAATATTTTGTTTATACAAACAAACATGATTGAGAAGAGAGAACAGATAAAACATATGAAAAGAAAACAAACTTAACAGATCAAATGATATGGGTTTGTTTGGTCGTGTGTTCTTGATGTTTGATCGTGATATACATGTATGTATTTATATACACTCATATTTTGTCTGTAATTCTGAAGAATTATTTGGATTAATTTTAAAGCAACATTTGAAGGTGTGAATCTTACTTATTTATTTTGTTTTTCGAATTTTGGAAATTACAATTCTACTGTCGGAAATAATGTCGTGTGCAGAAGACTCTAATGAACTTGGATTCGAAAAAATATAGTGCAAATATTACATGTATGTATGTGTGTAGTGAAAATACATTTACATGCAATTAACTTCGTATGTATCTCTAAGTGAACACCTTAGAATACACAAATACATATGAAATCAAGTACATAAGAATACATTGTAAAAGCTGTGAGTTGCATCTATAGTGGTCATGTATCGCGTCGTGTGGTACTGGATCTACATTCTTTTTTGTGCATGTTTGAGTTCAATGTAAAATTGAGAGTTAGGGATGAGTGTTCTGTACAGAAGGTTGCTTCTTTGTGATCTGAAGTCACATTATCATAGCAGAGAACTATTTGATAAAAGCATCAATGGACGCTTAACAGTGTTTGAAACATCATAAGTGTCGATTGATAATGTGATTACAGATTTTTAAGCTTTGCTACATCTCTATTATTCTAAAAAACTTATTTTTTACTGCAATTCACGTCAAGGAAGATTGGAACAGGTGTTGATCACAAACAATGTTGTTAAATAGTACTTTTGTGACTATTCGTCCTTTTTGTAATCTGAAGTGAGAGCTTACTACTGTTTAAATTCTGCAAACTACCTGTTACATATTCCTTGTGCAAGGAAGAAATAGAAATTTGCATGTGCTTTGAGATATTAAATGCTGTGCTCCGAACTCAGTCGTTGGAGTTCGGGTGTATCGGCGCATGCGCAGAAAAGTTACAAATATTACATGGTTGTTATTGAGACAGTTGTGTTAAGTGAACAAGTATTGTCTAAAAGACAGATGCTTGCTCTTCCATTTAAGCACGATCAAAATGTACATATTATATAAAAAGACGAAAAACGTTTATGGTCATTTATAGGAGTCCGTTTAGCTGGTCACTTTGGAAGCTGTGAAACGCCAAGATCAGGATGATTATTTAATTCAGCGTGTGGAAGATGTGTTAGTTGTTGCACAGAGATATTTCTGTCAGACTTGTGCGTGACAATGTTTATTTTTGTAACAGATTTATTAAATATTTTATTACTACTTATTGTATATTCACGAACGTTATTAGTAATTAAGACAACAATAAAATCTCGCATTTTGATGGTGATGTATAGTACGACTTCTGACTGCTATGTTTTGTAAATTTAAATCAGTAAATTCGTGTTCACAAGTGACAATCGGAATTAGCGACCTGTAAATAAAATTTCATTAAAACTGAAGTCTTGAATAGTGGAACGAATATATTCTGTCACTTTTTGCTTCAGTTACTTGCGAAATAATCGCCTTAAAGCAGCCACATATTATTCGATCTTCTTTGAGAACTTGGTGGAATGCAGAATTTGCAACGTCTACCGAACGATCATCCTGCTCCTGGCCCAGAGAGAGAGAGAGAGAGAGAGAGAGAGAGAGAGAGAGAGAGAGAGAGAGAGAAGAGAACAAGAGCATGAGGAGTGGAGAGCGGGCGTGCGCGGTGGAAGCCGAGTGGGGAGAGGGAAGCGGGAGGCGAGTGGAAACTGGCGCCGGCGGTCCTCCGAGTGTGTGCTCGCCCCGCCCCCTCGGCTCCGCGCTCAGACGCCCGCGGGCTCCGGCCTCGGGCCCTCGGGCTCGGGCCTCGGACTCGCCGCGCGCTCAGGGGTGGCGCAAGTCGGGGGAGCGCTCGTCCCAGGGGGCGTCGTGGCCCGGCAGCTTCCTGCGAAGGGCCTGGTAGGCCGCGCGGGTAACGCCTTGGGCTGGGCGTTACCTGCAAACCTCTCGCCGGCCTACTCGCTAGGGACCGTCGCTGTCAACTGGATCCTACACGGCGGAAGCCGTTGGCCGGCGCTGAGAGGGGGTCGGGATTTGCGATGCGGGGCGCCCGCCTGTCCGTCCGCTGCCTGGATGCGCGGGAGGTGCCTCGCGGGAACGCGGGAGGGCGGGGGTGGTGGTGGGGGCTGCAAGCGTACTTACTGATCTTTAGGTACGTACTTCTCGATAAAGGGCTTCTTGTGGCGACCGCAGCCGCCGCGGTTGCACGAAGGGCAGTACCAGTAGCTGAGCACGCCCACGGACACGCCGAAGAGCACGTTGGGCACGATGAGCGACAGCACCAGGTTGCGCAGGTTCTCCTCCCAGCTGTAGCGCGCCACCACCTGCTCGGGGTAGGCGCGGCTGTAGTAGCACGGGAACGGCTTCAGGATATGCCGCCCGCCGTACTTCTTGGCGAACTCCGTACAGTTCACCTGCAGCGACACATCACACGACGAATTGTCGCTTATTCGAATAATGCACTTGGATTAATGCAGATGAAATAAAGGTCTCTCAGAATAAATTTTACAAATGATTGGGACATACAGAGGGGCCGAAGAGTATTTCTTTTGCAAATAAACATATGGTGGGACATTTCATACAACGTTACTTATATAACAGTTGTCTCTGATTGACAGGCAACCCGTCATGTTCGGAATGCACATGAAATCTCCTTGTCTGTGTCAGGAAGTGACCTGCGAAATATCTGCGAATAAGGAGTTGGCTAACAATTACGGACACGTCGTATTGTCTCTCGGGCATCCGTCTTAATCCTTAGTAAGAAATTTCTCAGAACATGTTCATTGGCCAATCATTTTCGACCCCTAAACATGGTTTAGGAGTTTGTAACATTTACTCTGAGAGTCATGTAAATACAATTATTAGCCCTGTTGTGAATCATAATTCATCATCAACCAAGTTGTGAATCATAGCTGGTCATTGCAGAAGTTGTCTGCTCTGAAAAATCAGTCATTGCTACTTGTACTTAACATTCCTGCAACGCTTTAATTTAAAAACATATGAGGACATTTTGAACAGAAATTGAATTGAAAAAGGCTACTCAGTTGAGAATTGATAACTGGCATAATATTTTCGTGCCGAAAACGCATGAAATGTGCAACGTCATCACAGCACTGGTGTAGTGATTCATGTAGTGGATTTTATGAATAACGCCTACAGTAATCCGAGATGCCTTGGGCAATGTGCTCATTGTTTGACTGTAGAAAGTTACGATTGCATTATATAGACTCTAATTTTTTTTTAAATTTCTAGAACCTGCAATAAATTCAAAACCACCGCCTTGCCAAACCAGGGTTTTGATAGCCTGTCGGAAGAATTGTGAAATCTGATTGTAAATTCTAAAAGCTGGGTTGCCCATTGCCTTGCGTGCGTACCTTGGGTGGATACCCGCAGCCTTCGGTGTTGACGAGGAACTTGGTCTCGGCGACGTCCCAGGGCACTTCGTAGAGGCGGCGGCGGTACTCGAGGGGCAGCGTGGCGGGCGACATGTCCTCGGGCTCGTCGTCCTCCGCCTCCTCGTCCGCGCCGTCGCCCTCGTCGCCCTCCTCCCCCGCCTCGCCTTCTCCACCTGCTCAAGTGCGTAGACGGTTGCAAATTACTTTAAATGCAAAGATTCATGAAGCGTGATTTTGCATTTGGAAATCTTGTCATGGCAGAAAGAAAGAAAAAAACGATCTTACCGAATTTGAATGTCTGAGAAAAGGAGAATGAGAGTTGTGAGTAATAGACTTTCCATTTGTATGCGCAGAGGTGAAGTCAAATATCGCTTCTTTCAGGGCACATCTTTTATTTCGTTACATTACTGAGGGCAGTAAGTGGTTCTTTGTAATGATGTGAAGAACTGGGGTAATTCTTTACCAAATTTCAGCGATTTATTACAAAATCGATTTTACACCAATGTTCAAACTAGGAAATTCGTGCTCTGAAAAGTGGGGGAATTCGACTTCACTTGTTCACAGCGATACAGATATAAGTGAAACCTTGCATTTGTAGGTAGGTAGGTAAGCAAACGTGTCATTTCAACAAGGTGCTCAGAATATCAAGTAGAAATGAAAGTTTATGACATCAAGAAAAAGACGTGCCGAAAGGCGCGTGGCGTACCGTGTCGCGGGGTGGGGGGCGCGGGCGTGGGCGTGGTGGGCAGCGGCGTGCGCGTGGTGCGGCGCAGCAGGTGCCACTTGGGCATTTCGGTGGGGCCCTGTGTGGGCGGCGGCGGCGGCACCACGGGCACGGGCTCGCTGGTGTTGAAGAGGCGGGTGCGCCACTCGCGGAAGGGCACGCGGCTGTAGTTGACGAGCAGCTGGTGGCACCGGTTGGGCGACGCCGTGCAGCCCTCGCGGCACGACGCCCACGAGCAGTTGCGCAGCCCCTCGGCGTACACGTGCTCCACCACCACGCACGTCACGGGCTCCGGGTCAAAGTCGGCCATGATGCTCGAGATGACCGGGTCCACCACGAACGGGATGAGGAAGAGGAAGGCGAACACCGACACGATGGCCGTGGTGCCCAGGCACAGGGACGTGTAGAACTTGGCCTTGTCGACGAGCGCCGCGAGGTCGAAGGGCGGGTCGACGCCCACGCCCAGGGCGCCCGGCCCGTCGACCTGCGAGTCGTCGTCCTCCTCGCCCGGGAGGCCCTCCTCGCCGTCCTCGCCGTCCTCCCCCAGCCCCTGCGCCCCCATGATCTGCTTGGACTCGTCGAGGTCAATGGCGGCGGCCGGTGGGGGGGCGCGTTCGGCAGTTAAAGAGGAGCCCCGCGCGGGCGCTCGGGCGGGCGACGCCTGCGCCCTCTCTACATGCCCCTCGCGCACGAGGCGGCGGTCTCTCCCTCTCGCTCTTGCCCTCTGGCCTACCTGCGCTGAACAACTGGAAACGTAAGCCTACGAATGAGAATTGCTATCGCTTGAAAGAAAAACTGGAATAGAAAACACTCGCGTGGGGGCCGTTCGGAGGAAACTACTCTTCGCTCTGAACGCGTGGTGAAGTTCTTGCAAAACTTGCGGGATCATGGGCGTGATAATAATGAAGGAAAAGGTAAATGTTCCTGTTTTGTTATTTGCTCATAGTAGCGGTAGTAGTTCGTAGCCGAACCTACAAAGTCTGCAGTGCGCTGCAATAGAAGTAGCACATGGTAACAACTTGTAACTGTAACAATAGTAACGCCTAACAGTGTCCACTGGCGTGCAGCGTCGACGTGGTCGAAGTGACAAGTGCTGCTGGGTCCGTGGAGTGAAGTGGTCGTGGTCGCATTCGCATCCCGCGTGAGTCCCCGTCCCCGAGAGGGGCGCCGCTGCGCCTGGCTGGCTGGCTGGCTGGCTGGTGCAGCGGGGGCGGGCCGCCCGGGGGCGGGGTCGGGAGCCGGCGCGCGCTGGGCCGCTGCTGCCCTCAGTGCTCCTGGAGGGGGAACACGTGGTGCGCCGGGCTCTCGTGCAGGAGTGGAATGCCTGCAACACGCACACGCCGCATTGGCCACAGGCGCTGCAATGGACGTCGTACGCGTGGTAGCATATTGCAGGAAAATTACACGAATAAGAGCACGACTCCTGGCAGATGGCTAAAGATAAATAGACGAAGGAGGAAAGAAAACAGAGAAAATTGTACTTATAGGTATATGAAATAAATTCGTACTTAACTTAGTAGTCAATTACTGTTAGATAAAAACAAGCCAAATCCTCACCAACCATGAGGTAGTCGTTATAGATACGTTTTATTCACATAAAAGAAACGATTATAACCGTCCATGCCATAGTGCATTCTTAATAAATTTTGCTTCCCTTTTGATATCTGTAAGATATCTCTTGGATTCATTTAATGAAGTTAAATGTCAGAAAGTACCCCAACTGAAGCAAGAGCTCCCTGTGGCCCCCTCTAGAGGATCGCGCGCGCAGAGCCCTTTCCCGATGGAAGTACATCGCTCGCCCTCATTCGTTGCGGTGGCGAGGCGTGGCCGTCGCTGAAGGCCGTGCGTCTGTCTCCGCCGCGCCGCGCCGCGGAAAGCGAGTCACCGGGCTATCTGATGCAGCACGCGGCCGCATGTGGATCTTTAGTGACATCGCCCTAATGCACTCGCCGGTGAGCACTAGGCAACTGTGACACGTGTGCCCCACAAGGCACACGATCTCTCTCTCCTCTTCCATTATTATACGTCAACTTTGTTCGTACGTCTGACAACGGAATTGTTATGTTTTAAATTTACGTTGCTGATTTGTATCTGTTTTTCGAATGTTGTTGTAAAAATTAATACATCGAAATATAGGCACATTTGTATTTTCTTATAGTCCTCTATACAAATTCCAAGCTATTTGCAAATTAATTATTCTATTTAGAACTTTTTTTTTCGTGAATTACCAAGTGAAGGATATGAAAAATCTATGTAGTTATTGCACATCTTTAGAATTTTGTATAAAACAGATAATTGAATGTATACGTTTTGTGAGCTTGACGTTACATATAAGATATAAGTATGCAGTAAACTGTTTCATCGAACATACTGAAGACCTGAAATCACCTACGTTTATTTGTCATCCCCTTGAACTGGTACAAACGGTTAAAGAGGCTGTGGAATTGTTGGTTAAAAAACCTTTAGCTGAAACAAAATTTTGCAGAGTATTCGAAGAATTATATTTTCGAGCACAAAGTGATTAGAACTAAGAAGAGGGATCCTATTCATCTTCGCATTACGGGGCTCTCAAAGTCGCTGCCTGCCAGAGGGCGGAGAAGCTCTCCAAACTGCTTGCGTCGAGCCGCGCCTTGGAGCAGCTCCGGTCGCTGGAGCGCCTTTGTGCGGAGCGCCAAGTAGCGGGGCCGCGTGGGTGGAGGGCGGCGGGCGGATCGATCCGCCGGGTCAGGCGCCGCCGCTGCCGTCATCTGCTCCACTCTTTGAGGAACTTCCAATGCTCTATTCGCTCCATTAATAATGATTTATGATTCTGTATTTGAACTGTTTTTATGTCAATATTAGAACAAGTGGAAGAAGTGCAAGTAGAGTGGAAAGGTATAAAAAGAAAAGGGTTAACTGACATATAGCTTAATTTGTTAATGAGGAAAGGACTAATATCTTTACAAATCACATCTTATGAACTATCGTAATAATACGTTGTTGGTACATTATTCATAAGTTTATTTTCTTTCTTTCATGTCAAGTGTGTATGTGGGAGTAGAAGATGATGTGTATTATCTTTGAATAGGCTACTTCTGACTGAAGAGGCTACTACTAACTGAATAGGTAAAATTGTGTTGTTTAGTAAATTACTATATTCTCTTGAGAGAAAATCAATGCACAAAGAATAGTATATTTTAGACAGAGTACAAATGAATGTTTTCGAAATTGATGTCGCGTTAAAACCTATTATTTTGGAGCGGCTGTATTAAAAAAAAACAGCACATTCCTAGCTCGGAAAGGAAGTGCCAATCAAGCAATGCCATCCTCAGCGAGACCAGCGTTTTATATCGGGTGACCGTATGCTTGAAGTTGACGGACATTCCATTAAAAACACGTGTACACTCCAAAATATTATATATCACTGAGGAACAATTGCTCAAGAAGTATAATTATTGAAAACAACAAAAGTACGAGTGTTAACAAAGTAATGCCATCTTGCATTTTGATAACTGATTGCATCTGCATTTCAGAAAGTATGTAACATTTAGAAAATATGCAAGTGAACGATACTAACAAATACATTGGAAAAAGATAAAGGTTTTTTACTATCAAAGATGTATTACATTGAAATAGAAAAAAGGGAAAGTGAAACGAAGTACGGTACTTGAAAATAGAAATTATACCAATGCGCCGTATATTCAGTCTTAAGAAGCAAAATGTGGTTCGTATGTTATGATCGTGTCATATTACATGATCATACGTATGAACAAGCTTTTGAAAGACTAATAAGTAGTGATAAAAATGAATTATCTAATAATTCTCAAATAAGTAAATAAACTCATTAATCCGGGATAAGTTTGAAGAAGGCACATGTGCAAGACAAACGAACTCGCAGAACGTATCGTTTATATTTAAAAAATGTAAATCTCGTTTGAAAAAAAATTTTGTTACTATCCCTCTAAAAACAATACAAAGAAAACATCTTTTGTTTCAATACTAAAATTTATCTTTTTGTAAAGTTTCGAAAATATGATTTTGTTTTTTCTTAAGTAAACGATTCAATTATTACAAAACCTTAGGTCTCCTTCAATCGCTTTTTAGGGTGCAGTCTCTTAAATCACCCCGATAATAAAATTCGACGTATGTGAAGTTGAAGTGTAAGCAGAAATCTGTTGAGAGAATCTGAAGAGTTGAAGTAATCTATAGGTGTTAACAACATGTGTATTTATGTACTTATATTTGTGTAGAAGGGAACAGAAATTGAATAAATTAGTTATTAACGTCATAAGGCTGATGAACAGAAAATAACAGAGTCTGATTTTGTTTTTTCGACTGTGTTTCATTCAACGCTTTCTGAATTACCATGTTCTTATGAGAAAAAAAATCATATAAATCGGAAATGCCATTTCTAAATGTTCTCATTCGCCATGTAAATAATTTATTTTGATTGTTGTTAACGAATGTCGAACTGTTTAACCCTGAACGGACGCCGATCATAGAGCGACTTGATTTTGGTTGCGTTAAATCGATATAACAATACAGTATGAACAAACAATTAATTAAGCAAAAAACGATCATTTGTAAACCCTGGTGTTACCTAACGTAGTGACTGTTGCGAGGACGTGCTAGCTGAAACGGTCGGCTGAGCGAGAGGCGGGCGGCCCGGGGGCGGGGGCGATGGCGACGGCAGCCCGCACTGCGGCAGTCGAGCGCCCCCCCCCTCTGCGCCCGCGCCGCACGGCCCTTCCCCCGCGCTGCCCCCCCCCCCCCCCCGCTGCCCCCGCCACTGCCGCGCCGCGCACGCGCCACGGAGAGCGGTCGCGCCGCAGCTCCTGTGTACCCAGCCGCTCCCGCGCCACGCTCGGCTGCCCCTTGGCCCGAGCCCTCCCGCGCGCAGCGCACGTGCAAATGAACGCGCCGTGCCAGCTGCTCTCTTGTGCACGCCAACATCCACTGACAGATGCGCATTTTCGAATTTCGTATAAATTACGAAATTAAGCGTTTTGGCATGTTCTTTACTTCCTAAACAGGTTCAATTACTCGCATTCAATTACTGAATGATGTGTTTCCGATTCACGTTATTGCACTATTTGTTCGTATGTACTATATTTTAATAATATTTTGTCGCCGAGTACGTAGTGTATGTATTCTTGCAGACTGTATGTACCATCTCTGAAATTTGCCTGTATGCTCATGTATACTGTAGAATAATTACATGTTTGACGATCGCAGAATGTGATACAGTATGGTTAATTCGTTAACTTTCGTTATCAGTTCAATAACTGTTAAAAAGTTCGGTTAATGCTACGATAAAAGTAATTGAAGGTTTATTTCTAAAGTGACGAATCTCCATGTTTATTTTCTAGATTTACGTATCAATATGTTCTTAAAACGCATCTCCATCACGCTGCCGGCGTTTCTTGTGTGTTAATCTGAATCCGAAAACCATTGATTTCTACCTGAAATCATAAGGCTGAAAGTGTCTATTTTCTCTTTATGAAAAAAAAGTGTTTCATTGAGGTACGTCATTTTGGAAATAAGCTCCTCAGTTATGTGAATTCAATAATTTGAGTTAAGCTTAAGTTCTGTGAAATTTTCTCTTAAAATCCATTCCTGGAAGTCACTCTACTTTTGGTGGTCAGCATTTCATTTGAAAGGAAATATCGGCAGAAAGGATTTTTAGCGTCATGTTTTAGCTCAGAATATTATTTCACATAATTTCTGGGAGGTCACTTTGAAATTCCATTACAGCAATTATATAAATGTTGGTGTACAAGTGGTTCCCGTTGGATGTGTTTTATTCATAACTAGTGGACCCGGCAATGCTTCTCTATTGCAGTGTACTACACCACACGATATTGGTCACTGAATGTTAATCACGTTTACGTTACGCCCTGCAAACATGCTTACAGATGAAACATTTTCTTGCGTGTATGGGTTTGTTCTGTGTCCTGGTTTGGACATGCATTTGCTATGAAATTATAATGGATTCAAGTTATAATCCAGCTGATTTCACAATCGCAGGGGCAGAATACTTGTATGCAGCAACAGACGCGCTCAACACTTGACTGTGCGAAGGGTTGCGTAGAATTTCTTTTTAGGGGCTCTCGAGTCATCATCAACAATGTCATCAATGCCCCCACGTGTCAATTTTTTTTAAAGCACTCTTTAAACACTTCCTATACTAATAACAACAAAGTGTGAAACTTTCAGCGAAATGGCTCAAATAGTTTTTACGTCTATTTGCGGCTGACATACGTGCATTACCTTCTATTTATTTATAGATTATTACTTTGTGATTTGAGTGGAAAATCTTAGTTTGAAATGATATACTCTCGGCCT